ATGCCACCCACACCCATAGGGTTGTCAGTGATCTCTGCCAATGCTGTTCTGCAGCCTCTGGCATGTACATGTCTAAGGTTGGGGACTAGTTGAGTCTGGATAAGACTCTGTTCCAGCAAATCTAAGGGGAAGCTGCCACACACTGTTTCGCAGCAACGCAGAAAGAATTCCCAGAACCTACATGTAGGTGGTACTCAGGAGGGGGCAGTTTCGAACAGGTCACGTGTCTTTCATCTTTCGTGTTGCTTCACGCAGATAATAAATCTCGATCCTTATATGGTAGAGATTCCATTTGACTCTTAGCAAAAGGCAAAAAATACTGCACTTGCTGGAATTCTGAAATAAAAACCAAAGTGGTTAGAAACACTCGGCAGGTCAGGCAGCGTCCACGGAGAGAGGAAAATGGGAACGTCTCGGGTCGACGACCTTTCGGCAGAACTCATCTGACTCTTAGCAGATCGTTGGAGCCACATTCCTGAGAGCAGGTTGTGCACCCACCATTCACTTGGACAAGGAGAGCAAATCAGAAAGGGAACATAATCTCAAATAAGCAGACAGACCTCTCCATTAGGCTACTCGCACCAGCGCAGACACAATGGACCAAATCACCGAATCTGTCTTGTAATCTGCGCAGGATTCTGAAAGAAAATACTCATGGGACTGCCCTATTAGGGGAGATGAAGTTGCATTTGTTTCATCACTTAAATAAAGGCCTTTATTCAGTATATCCTGAGACCTGCAGTGTTTTGCCCACAAAATATACAGTCAATTCACTTCACAGTGTATCCTGCGAAGCGCTTTGAAACGTCTCGAAGGCGTGATACGGTGCTGTATCAAATGTAAGGATTATTATTAAGTGTATGTTGTATCTCTTGCTTCTAGTTGTGGAAGCTGCTGTGTAGCAATTCCTTGCAATATCATGATACTTGATGGGCCACTGGCCTTTTTGAGCAATGTCAGCTGAATAAGGGATTGTGTAACAATAATGGATTGTTAATAATGGATTAATAATAATAATAACAACAACAACTTGCACTTATACGGCGCCCTCCACACAGGGTAGCGTCTCAGAGCGCTTAACAGTGGCGGAGCCTGACTCCGAGCCGGGTGGGAGAGGTGGCCATAAGCACGGTCAAAGGGGAAAGTTTTCTGGTGGGTCTTGGTGGAGAGGAGAGGGGGGGCAAGGCGGAGGGATTGAGGGAGAGTGTTCTGGAGTCTCGGGGTGTAGTGACTGGAAGCGCGACCTCCGATGGTGGGGCGGTGGGTACGAGGGACGAGCCGGTGCCAGTCGAGCGGAGGCGCCGGGTGGTGGATTGGGGGAGTGAGGGGTACGCAGTTTGGTCATCTCCGTTGAGCACTAAATAATAATAATAATAATTCTTGCATTTGTTATCGCGCCTTATCACGGCATTGAGATGTCTCGAAGCGCTTTACAGGATATACTGTAAAGTGAATTAACGGTATTTTGTGGGAGAAATATTTAATTTAAAATTTTTAACCCATTACATACCTATGCTGCTTTGCAGTTAAAATCGTGCCAATTGTTCTGGAATTCGAATGCCTAATTGTGCCATAAATTTGTGCTCGACTAGAACAGGCCTGTCTCGCTGAGTGTTTCAAAGGCATCTAACGTTTTTCCTGGGGGCTGAGGAATGTACTCTGTTTACTCTATCTGTCTTGCTCTTTATTTGGAACTTGATCATTTCTTGCCCGCAAGCTTTTTCCGAGTCCAGTGGTTACTGTACCATGAATTGTCTGTTTTGAAAAGATTACGTTACTCTGGAGCTCTACGCTTTAAACCCTGGAAACAAGAGACCATGACAATTACACAACACGTTTGGGGGTGCCGGAGGGGCGTTTGGGGGGGCCGGAGGGGCGTTTGGGGGGGCCGGAGGGGCGTTTGGGGGGGCCGGAGGGGCGTTTGGGGGGCTGGAGGGGCGTTTGGGGGGCCGGAGGGGCGTTTGGGGGGCGGGAGGGGCGTTTGGGGGGGCTGGAGGGGCGTTTGGGGGTGCTGGACGGGGGTTTGGGGGGGCTGGAGGGGGTTTGGGGGGGCTGGAGGTGGGCCGGAGGGAGGTCTTGAGATGTGCCGTGAACGAGGCAAGAGAGGGAGTGAGGCGAAGGTACTGAGGGATGGAGTTCCAAAGAGTGGGAGCAGCGAGGCTGAAGGCCTGACCAATACGATGCATCAGAAGCTGCAGCAAGCAGTGAAGCACACGCGACTACTCGTCTTAGCGTGTGTCACGTCAGTGACTGAGTGTCGTGCAGCTGTGCAGACCATTGCTCTCGGGTCAGATGTAACCTCAGTTTTGTGACCGGTTTTATTTGGAAGCTGCTTGTTTTGCACTCGCATAAAGGAGCTCCTTGTGTTCTGCAGCAGGCGGATGCAATAACTGCCTGTAACGTTGGGGGGGAGGGGAAATGTCTGGGTAAGAAAAGACATCTGCTTTGTCGGAGCAAAACGCTGCACTTATTCATTTAAATAAATACGTCAAAGAAGGAGTCGCGCAGCCCATGGGTCTTACACCAATATCAGCCATCGCCTAAGGTGGAGTTGAAATACAGCTGTACTTTTAGATATTACGTCTGATGGTCTGTCACAGTCGGTATGATTGCAGTTGTCAACTGTTTCCACGTGTTCTCTGAGGGTTATTATGACATTTACTGGTTGTTGAGTGAGCCAGTCACTCCTTGATTTTGTGTTAAGATGTTGACTCCCAATCGACAGTCGCTTTACACTCTGCTTACGACTCCCCCCCTCCACTGGGAGCTCAGAGCAAGATTTTATTTCAGTTCAGTGTTGAGGTCGAGAGGGCTTAACTATCTTCCTGTGTCGCGTACAGAGGAACAGTGTAACATGGCAGCAATGGTTTCTGGTGGGTGGAATGAGGTGGGGAGGGGGAGTATTTATGGTTTTAAACACAAAACTTTCATACGAGCCACCGGGAACCGAGGTCACGTTCACAAGTGCAATATTGTGAGCCTTCCCTGAAGTAGTCATTGATACGGAGTGTGTGTAGCCGAGCGGTGCAGAGGAAAAGTGGCTTTAGATCTTAATTTTCTGTGGGGGAATTAGGAAGCTGTGAGCTGAACCTTTTTCAAGAAAGTGGGAATGTATTAATGGAGGATTAAACAATAATAAGGGCTCCGAGATGCCATCCGGCGTGGAGGGCGCTATATAAATACAAAACATAAGCTGTCGTTTGATTGTGGCGATGCACGTAGAGAGGAAGCAAAGTGACCTGCGCAATCTATTCCTACTATTACCAAGCAGTTTGGCAATGGAAATTGGCGGGTGGGAGGGGGTGTGGGGGGAGGGAGATTGCAGATTCTCTTTCCTTTCAGTATTACAGTCTACAGTGGCCAAATAGTCCTTGATAGCGATGCTCATTAACACACTGGCTAAATGTCCAGTGTGACTGCCCTCAAAAAGGATTGTCTGCAAACATCCAATTAATTTGAAGCGGATTCCTTACAGACCAAATTATCAGTGAGATACATGAAAACGACGCATTCACCACGACAGCAACAACTTGCATTTACATAGCGCCCCTCACACAAGTAGCGTCCCAGACCACTTCATGAGTTGCAGGGATATATTTCTAACAATCCGTGCCGTGTTTTGCGAGGTGGCCGCTGGTCGCATTGAGCGAGAGATTTTTTTTTTTTATCTCACCCCCTCCCCGTGCTGGTGTCGAAGGGAAATTGTGCCGCATAAATGTGTTTTGTTAAAGAGTTAAGCACATCCTCAATGTACACCCAGTGGGTTTATATTTAGCCATTGCAGTCAGAAGCAGGACGTAGATAGTGTAGCTGGCATGACTGCCCGAGCACTTTCCGAAGAACTGTCATTTGCATAACTTTCCTGTGCCATTATGAATTGTGAAACTGCCGGGGGCATAGTCTGGGCTGTAGATTCCGCATCAGATCGACTCTTCTAAAATAAAAGTCTTCTCATTTTTTTTTCCCCCTCTCCATTTAGATAAACTGTTTATTTTTTTTTAAATGGCTCAGTAAATTGAGTGCACACAACTGCAGAAGTTGAGCACGTTTTCACTCTTGTTATCGGGTCGTGTGGCACAATTCACTGCAGTTGGTATATGGACAGGTTCAGACGGGACTTGAGCTTATGGATATTTAATGCCATTGAGTCACATTTGAGCATCTAGGTTCCCATCCACATGTTTCGCCCGCAAAACATAGTCAATTCGCTTTACAGTATATTCTGTGAAGCGCTTTGAGACGTCTCGAAGACACAATAAGACGCTATATCAAATGCAAGGATTATTATTAAGTCCAAAGGGGTGTGTGCTTTACCTAATGCCAGGGCATGCCCTTCTGCACAACAGTCAGTCCCTTATCTTCATACTTCATCCCATTCCGGCAGCTTTGGAGTGCAGGTTGGTAGGTAAGGTCACGCCAGAGTCAAATTCCTGGTCACAGTTGGTAGGAAACTAAACCCACAGGAGAGAGGAGAGCTCACAGTGGCAGCTGAGGTTCACCTGGTTAAAGAGCTGCAGAGGATGGCGAGCAGCTGGTACAGTTATTTTTATTTATATATATATATATACACTAAATATATTTTCACCCACAAAATATACAGTCAATTCACTTTACAGTATATTCTGTGAAGAGCTTTCAGACGTCTCGACGTGATAAGCCGCTATATCAAATGCGAGGATTATTATTATATTGAGGGGAATCGATGTTAGGGGAGGAAGTGGCAAAGGTCAAAACTATGTTGAACTTTTCCGAACTGTTTGCTGAACAGTGCAACCAAATCAACCTTTTGAAAACGGTGCCACTAAGTTTATTACAAAGTCCACAAAAACTCCCATCTTCACCATTTGGTTTCTCTGGAGCGTCGCTTGTTACTTTGAAGTGAAGACTAGACAGAACTAAATGAGCATTTCATTGATGAATACAGTGGTGAGATGTGGTTTGGTTTATTTTCCCTCACACTGATAATTTTCTTTGACCTTCTGTTTTTTTTTCCCCTCAAGCCAACACTGCTAAACAATCAAGAACACCCGTTCATCTATTCACTCTATCGAAATCTACAGTGCAACCACATAACACTGAAGGCCCTGTTAACACAGTCTTGGACACCGGCCATGGAAATGCTCTGGTCAGCACTCCAAGCTCAAGCAGCAAAGTTGGCCTCAGCAGTTCGTCAGGAGATTCAACTGTTCAACTTCTGAATAAGACCAATACAGTGAGAGAGCTAAATGGAAGCATTGCCAATGTAACTGGGGACCGTGCCATTCAGCCGCTGAATGAAACCAAGGTCAGAGTTTCTACCTCAACTGAAAGACCTCTGAGTACCAGCGGTCTCCATGCCAAGGACGAGAACGGCAGTATCCCTGGTGGTTTGGTGACGGAGAGCCCACCCAGTGAAGCGCCGCCTCTCGTCCCTAACACGGAGAACCCGCAGGGGGTTCACAACAGCTCCGCCTCCCAAACCCCAACGGCAACAAATCCCGGCGTTCCCACAACAGCGGCCGGACCGGATGGAACAAACCGTAAGTTCTTCCTTTTGATGAGTAAGTTTGTGGGTTTTGAATTTTTCCGGTCCCCGCTGTTTCAGAAGCAGGCTTTGTGGATGCTTGAGGGAAAAAATGCATTGAAATTACTAAACCTTTAATCATCTCGTGAGAAACGTCTGCCTTGGTTAAGAACTGATGCAAGCTGATGGAGATGAAAGGACAGTGTTCCAACAGTCTGTGTCTCTCTCTCTCACTCTCACTCAATGCAGCTTCTTTCATCATGATGTTCATTACTGATATGTTGAGATCGGAAAAAATTTGCTCAACTATTGTTCTGGCCACGATTGAAGTGACCGTGTGTTTGATAGGCACGAAATTCACCCTCATGTGTGAATTGTGGCGGCGTATAAACAGTAATATCAGACTGCCCCAGGATTTGGGGGAGAGAGAACGCATCTCTTTGTTCTTCCTTTTCTTGCTCGCACATTATTTGGGAATAAAACTTTAGCAGTTGGGTTCGTGCTTTAACAATATTAAGACGTCATTTTGCTCCTCTTCGTTATATCTCCCCATATTCCGGCCGAGAAAGCTGATACCTCGCTCTCGCCTCCAGCAACACTCTTCTCTGGGCAGTTGGAAATCTGCCAAAAATGATGCCGATTTGAAAAGCAATTTATTTTTATCGTTTTCATCTCGTCTTAGTGTTTCCAACTCTGGGGCATCAGGGAGTGTAAGCTGGGTTTCCTGGCACCTCTTCATTTGAAAACTCAATTCCAAGTCTAACCAGATGTGCCTCCTTTAGGAGTTTGTAAATTTAATGTTTCGTGTGTGCTTAGATTTCACCAATGATGTCAATGTGCACCACTCCGCAAGCCTCTGTTTACCAGTAGTAGGTAGGAACCCGGTTGTTAGTTGATTGCCAGATCGCTTTTCCGGGGGCAATAATCCTTCCAAAAAAATAATAATAATTTGGTCACTCAATCCATGACTGTCTGTGGGACACTGCTGGGCACAATTAGCTGCTACGTTTCGCCCACAAAACATACAGTCAATTCACTTTACAGTATATCCTGTGAAGCACTTTGAGACGTCTCGAAGATGTGAAAAGCACTATCTCAAATGCAAGGATTATTATGTACCCTTTTGTATGGAAGTGGCCGAATGGGCCCTACTGAGCATTGCCTAGTTCTGAGTTGTTCCATCACCAATCTAAATGGTACAGGAGCAAGACAAGAGTCTACATCCTTGATCAATTTTGAATGATTGAGATTTTCTTATTAAGTTTGATTGTACAATGAGCATTTCCATTTTTCTGTTAAAGATACGATCAAAAGCCCGCAGACCATACCATCTCCAACTGAAGACGTTGTTGGGTCAACCGAGACCCCCCAAGCCACTGTGACGTTCACCACATTGTCCGTAAAGGCCTCCAGTCCCCCTGCGACTGTGACCACCGTAGTCACACAGCCCACCAGCATGAAACCCACCACCACAAAGGCAACTACCGCAAGCAGCAGTACCACCACAAAGAGGACCACATCCACAATACTCTCTGTGAACCATAGCGGGGAGAATTCAGCCAACATCAAAGACTCTGTGCATGGTACAGTGTGTGCTTTAGTTGTCCCCAGAAATAATGTGTTCTGTGTTTCTCAGTAACTCTGTGTTGGGCTGGGGATGATATTATGACACAATAATGTTTCGAACAGTTGATGGTGATTGATGTAAAGGAAAAACATAGCCTTCGTGAGTGGCCCAAATCAGTAAAAGTGCTGCCTTCTCCTTTTGAACAGGGAAATTGGATTCGATCTCGAGCAAAACCAAAGTGGATCCTCTGGTAGTCGGAATAATCACGGTCTTCTTTGTAATAATTGGGGTCCTGTCGATTCTCGGGTTCCTGAAGTACCGTCAGCGAGTCAACCAACCAGAGTTCAGGCGCCTCCATGAGCTCCCAATGGTAAGGGCGCTATTATGAAGTGGAAGTGTCCTGCGACCTCTGAACATCTCGGGGATTATTGCAATTCTATTTTCATCTTTCAAATTGCTTTTTATGCTCATGTTTGTCCTAAAAAAAAAGTTGCCAATTTGTCCAGCGGTATGGAAAGTCTAACTGTTTTTCCGCAATCGTGGGCGTAAAGCTGATGGATGCAGATTCAAATTTTAGATTTCATATTTCACTGATGTCCTCAGAGCACCGTTTTGTGAGACTATCAATGCCATCTGATGCTTTGCTGGTACGGAATCTCACTTGTTCCATCGTCTGCAGAGCCACAAAGCTGGCAAAGGGCGTTGTGCAGCTGCTGATTTGCTTTCCTACCTTATTGGCGAGAAACAACTTGAAAGCGAAATACCCACTCTTTTACTTCCCACCTGGTTGGTTAGAAAATGTCATCGAAACCCCAGGGTTGATTGAAGTTGGGAGATGGATCAGAAAGGAGCGCAGTGGGGGCGTTCTGTTTGATAAGGAAGGGACACAAAGGTTAATGACTCAGTTACTAAAATGAGTTTTGTTTCCCTTTTCCAGGATGACATGATGGAGGAGGATACTCCATTGTCTCTCTACAGTTACTAGATGTTACCTGTTGCCAAAGAAGATGGTCTCATTGAGTTGCACAATATTATAAGTAATATGTGTTCCAAGTATTAATAGCTTTCATGATGAGGACTTTTTTTTTAAAAAAAATTGTGCGAGCTAACTTTAAATTTCGATGCATCGTGGGTTTTTTTCGTGTGTGTTTTTTTTAAACTAGAGATGCAAGAATTGCTTGGGCTTTGGGCAAAATTCAGAGACATTGCACCATTTGTTTTTTTTTCCCCTCCACCAGCCCCCCCCCCCAAAAAAAAACCTTTCCCTCTCTCTCCCCAGTAGAAATCTACACCCTTAGAGATTTCAACCGTTACCTCGTTATTCGAACAAATATGTCACCACATTTTAATTTAAATCCATGATGTACAATATAAACATAGAAGTCATTTGAGACTCTCACCGTAGCTCCAGTCTTCTGAGGCTGGTCCTTGAGATGCCAAATAGCGCTTCACCAAGGATCCAAGATGCAGAGTGACTAAAGGTGTGAGTCTTGCTAGAAATATTGACAATGTTAAAATGTATTGGGTTGTACCAATTGGTCGGGAGTTTTAGATGGCGTGAGCTTGGTACTCCACTTAGCGCACTAGATTAAATCCTCTGAAGCCTCTTTGATGCCAATCGCTGAACTGTACATGTAGTCAGCACACCAAGGCACTAGTTGGAAAGCTCAGGCTGAAGGCTGATTCGAGTTTCGTTCAGCATAAGTGCTTTGAGACGCCATTCGGTATGAAGGACGCTATATAAATGCAAGTTGTTGGAACATGGCACTCAAGCTTGTGACTGACCGCAAGGCTGCATCTAACTCAGAACCAGGACTGCTCTTAGGACTTAATACTCCATCAAAATGATCAATTAAAGTATTTGGAAAATCACTTGATGTTTGGGTACGGCCTTAACCAGGGAATTTATTTCAGTTCCTAAAACTCCTTTAAAATTAGCTGTGTTTTGCCCAGAGACTCAATGATATTAGAGATCTGAGCTTCCTGGCCAGAAAACCCTTGTGAGTTCAGACCGGGAGCTTGTCTGCTTGATCTAATGGTGCCTTCACACTGCACCTTGCGGTTTTACACTGGTGTGATTTTTTTGAGACTGGGGTCCTCTCGTTCGAACTGCCGGCTAGCGCCAGCCTGCACCACGCTCTCATTGGGGACCAGCAGAACTCTGGCTTGTGTAGTTAAACAAACAGGAACATAAGTCTTCTCACCACCCAGCAAAATGTTTCACATTTGGGATAAAGTTAGTTATCCAATTGGCTCTCTCACTTTTTTTTTTGAACAAGAGACACTTAAAGACAGCTCAGCAGATTCTGAGCCCTTTTCAAACTGGTTCGAAAAGTTGGTGTGGCCTTGGTCAATGCTATTTGTGTTGCTTGCGTCAGCGCAACACAAAATGCCCGGAACAACTGCTGTCCACTTGAAGGCAGTCCAGGACTTGAATGTTTATTTACTCCCCGCCCCCACGTTTGCAAAATGCCTCGCACAGAAGCACGCTTTGCACAGAAATGTACAACATCATTTTAAGCCTAAAGAGTAGCTCCAGAGCTGGGTTTTGGTGATAACATTTCAAAGAGAACTTGCTCTTTATTTAACCTTTTGCTTTGATATTCCGATCCTATTGGAACTTGGCCTCCCTGCACTTGCACGGTATCTCTCTGCACTACCATGAAGCACCCGGGACTCTACCCTGCGTGAGAGGTACGGTAGAAATGCAAGTTGTTGTTAGTTGTATGGACAGTGAGTTTGGGATTCCAATGTAACTACTGATATGGCCAAACTGAGTCAGGTGAAGAGTGCATTTGGAATTCCTGCTCTTGACACTGGAGTTCCCATTCTAATTATAGGCAAACTCCTGTACCCAGGCCTCTCGGATTACTCTTCACACCTTGCCAAAAGGCTATTTTTAAAGCCCTGGATTCCTACAGACAAACAGTGAACAACACTCTTGACAAACACCGGGCATTCATTATGTACGAGCTGCACAAAATCAATTTTCTGTTCTTAAAAGAGGCAGTCAGGAAGTTTGTCAAGTTTGAGGACAGACAAACGTGCTTATACGACTGCAGTCTTTCTGGACTGCGATCCTCATTTTAACAAAAAATCTTTTACACGAAGGGAATGCCTTAAAATGCGCGATCGACTTGATTGTTGACTGTCTTGTAACTCACAGTTTGTGAAGAGGAATTCTGGTCTATCACCAACATAATAATTAATCCTTACATTTGGTATTTGGTAGAGGAAGTCTCAAAGTGCAGTGACTGTAACTCCTGTAGATGAAATCTCTGCGTTACATGGTGTGTTTTAATTTAAATTTTAATGGTATTTAAATTTTAATGGCTGTTTGTGGAACACTGCTGCATGCAATAGGCTGCCGTGTACAAAATACAATCAATCCACTTTACAATTAATATTCTGTGAATCGCTTTGAGGCGTCTCAATAACACGATAAATGCAAGGATTATTATTAATTGCCAAATCAACAAATGCAACATGTCATTTCAAAATGAGTTTTGAAATTGGAAATGTCCTGAAGGCCCAATGTGATTTGACAGAGTTTCCAGTGTTTCCAAACGTCCAGCTCAATCCAAAAACCTGGCCGTGAACATTTACTTATGTTTTCACACTTTTTTCCGTATGTTCTGGTGTCAGGTGGTTTTCTTGTCAAAGTAATTGTGGATCAGCTAAACGTAGAGGTTAAACTTTGCTTTAATCTACATATGGAACGATGTGTGGGCTTTAGAGAATTGAATGACTCTCCTTTTGAGGAGTTAGTTGATTTTTGAAAAGAAAAAGGGATATTGAAAGTGTTTTATTCTTGTAGATGATTTCACTTCAAGCTATTGGTGTGGAACTGGATAAGAATTTCTTTCCTCTGTGCTAAACCCAGTGAGATTTGAAGTTAATGTTGACATTACAGGTACATGAGAACTTTCACACAGACCAGTACTACTTTGTTTTGGGTAGAAATGAAACGTTAGCGCAGACATGGGATAGTGTGTTTGTGCGTTGTGTTTGAAGACTTTTTAAACCTGTTAGGTTGTGTTTTTGATTGCATGTTCTTCAATGCCATCTATCCCTGTACGCAGGTTTGATTATGAATCTAATTCCTCCGGAGGGTGATGTTAAATTTGAATCAATCGGCATTGGGTTCATCTTAATTCATCATAAATTTCCACATTTGATTGGCGTTCCATGAAAGCAAAACTGATGTAATACGTGTAGCCTAAGACTGTACAGGCTTCTCCCAATGACCGACAAATCATACACTGAAAGATGACGACTACAGGAGAACGAGACTAAGATTTGACATATTGACTGTTTCTGGACAATCCTAAAAGAACATGCATGTTATAGGGTTGTTTAGGATGTTTTTGCTATCCAGGGAACTGCTAATGACCTTCAGCAAAGATTAAGGAGACTGCTTGACCCCTTTCACTACGTAGCTCATTTGTTTAGAAAATAATCTATAGTTAAAAAGCACAGCAACCAGCCGTGATATATTTCCATAGATTCCTTCACTTGTGTTGAAGTAAAGCACATCCTCTGTTGGGTAAGATCACTGATGCTAGATTTAGGAAAATCGAATGAGTGCAGGAACATTTTTATTGGGAGTCTCTTTATTCAGTCTTTATTTCAATCCAAATCGTTGGAGAGTTGACCCGTGTCTCTGAGCAATGGTTTCTGTGAAGAGAATGCTCATTAGCTGACCTGTGACTGTCAGTTTGTTTGCGCAGTCAACGCATGTATTTCTTGACCTGCTCAACGAGAGAGAGAGAGAGAGAGGGAGGGAGGAAGAGGTACAGAACAAGTGTCCCCAGTGAATTTTGAAATGTATTGCATCTTAAACAAAAGCTATTCATATTTTTGCTGCCTGGTTTTCAGTTTCACTACGGACTGAAGAGCTTAATAAGAAGGCTCGAGTTGAAAGCACAAGATTATTGTGCACTTTTTTTTCACAAAAGACCCCTCCAACCTCTGTACAACAGGAATTAAAAACATTTGTAGAAGTATTTCTCCATTGGGTTTCAATGGATTGGATTGAGCGGAATTCTACCCTCCTCTCTTGTCAAGAGTGCGGTGAATTAGAAGTTGGTGTTAACATCTTAAGTGATCTTGGTGCAGTTAACAACAATAATAACTATCCTTGCATTTGACTTAGCGCATCTGGAGACATCTCGAATGGCTTCACAGGATTCATTGCATATTGTAGTGGCTATATTTTGTAGGTGAATTTAAATAGCAGATCGACCGATTTATCTTCCAGATATCAGTGAAAAATTACTTAATGTGATCCAGACATCAGAAAACGTAATACATAATTCAAAGTTTAAAATCTGCCATTCCTCACTTTATTCTGGCATTTCGATCCCATGCTTTTTTTTAAAAAAAAAGCTGCTGCGTTTAATGACTGATTTAAACTGATGTATTTTACAATGGATTTCCAATTACCAAATGACTCCACAGGCACCAAATTAGTTTAAGTAATGAGATATTGAATAGCCGTGAGATGTGAGCTGGGAGACGACCCCTTATTCCTAATGTATAATACAATGCGCTGTTGACCAGTCTGTCTGCCGCACGTCGGTTTCTGGAGGCGCTTGTAGCTGCAGTCATAACAGCGGGTCAGTTTGTACCCTGGTGCAATCTGAAAATGGAAACCTCCGGGAAAAAAATTCCAGAGTCAAAGATTAGTCGAAAATATTTTCTTCTCGTGTGTGGTACAGATGTTCATTTTTTTTGCACACGATGAGCGAAGGGAGATTTCACATCTATTGCAGTAACACCGTGTTTCTTGCTCTAGCCTAAACATGGCCAGTTCCCATAAACCTGATGGTTTCGAGGGGGCTGGTTTGTTTTTACGCGCTGCGGTGCAGGCTCAGTAGGATCCACTCTTTCCGATTACTAACTTCAGCAGTCAGTAAGATCTTATGAAACAATAGTCCTAATAACTAGTTGCCAAGGCTACTAATGAACAATAATCATAATGGAGGGAATGTTACAGTCAACCATCTGTTGAGGTGCCATTATTTAACTGCAACCTAGATCTTTATTGGTAAATTGGTATGGTGATGGGTGGGGGGGGTGGGGAAGAGTCCCTTCCATTATTTTCTTAAAAGGATAAAAGCCATTGTAGCCAACGTGTTGATCACAGCTGCTGTATACGGTGACATTATATTAAACCTTTCAATCACATTTGTGATTCCAGGCTCTTTCTAAAAACGATGTTTTTTTTTCAAATAATCACTGTTTTTTTCTTTTTCTGGGATCAGCCCAGTGCCAAAATCTATCCGCATTAGCCCATATTTGTATTTCATTTTGTCAAAAAAAAAAAGTGAATCAAGAAGGCTATTGAGGAAAACGTGAAACTTGTGCCTGGTGTTAAGAACCTACAGAGCTGGACTGGCTGTTTGGGTCTCCACCAGTTTGCCTCTGGTTTTCCTCCCCTCTCTTGTAACTGTAGTACCATCAAGACTGGTGATGCTGTGAGTTTTGTGTTTATTTCGTGCCAAAATTATAACTTAGTCTTCAGGTTGGACTGGTTGGAAAGTTTATCGTTCACAATCCTTTGGGATTTAAAGTTGGTCGAGTGATGATACATACCGTTGTGCATTGTATAAGGGAAAATCTCGTTTGCACTATTGGAAAATGTGTGTTTTTTTTTAAAAGAGTCGTGTGGGTGGGAGAACTGGTTACCGACAAAGATTAGAGGAATGTCCATGGGGGGTGGTGGGGGAGGGTTGAGGTTAATGTGTGCAAAACTGTTGCAATCTAAGAATGTTGATTTTGTACAGTTGATTTTTACATTTTTGCCTTTGTTTTTGATTTATTAAAATTGGTTTTCCCCACAACCCATGTTGTGAATTCATTTACCCTGATTTATTGAGAGATGCAATTTACCTGAATATTTGGTGCCATCCATTGTAAACTTATATTTTTGTGAATATTTTCAGAAAATCTTTCTGAATGATTAAAAGTTAAAAAAAAAAATTTGCTGTAAATTTAAATGTTGCACTGAATTCCTGAAGGAAATAACCTGGTTTGGAAAATTGTTTAATCGTTTAATAAATGTTAATTGTGGTGATTACGGTGCAACATTTTAAACTGTATTTAAACACCCGCACATTCTTTAGAACGGTCACATACGAGACTTGGGAACATGGGAAGCTGAGAACATTGTAGGTTTAAAATTGCAAGCGAGAGACCTGGGTTCGATTTCCAGGCAGAGGGCGAAACCTTGGGCAAGTTTCCTTACTCCACACAGAGCCTAATAATAATCCCTCCAAAAAAACAAAACAATAATAAATTGGTCATTTTCAATCCACGACTGTTTGTGGGACACTTCTGTGCGCAATTGGCTGCCACGTTTCGCCCACAAATATACAGTCGATTCACTTTACAGTCTATTCTGTGAAGCGCTTTGAGACGTTGAGAAGACGTGAAAAGCGCTATATCAAATGCAAGGATTATTATTATAAAATGCATCATTTACTGACCCCTTAACACATTTATATTTTGGGCAAAGATAAATAGGCCGTTACCTTTTATCCTACGGCCGTTCAATGCAATTGAAACTATTCTTTGACCAAATCAATAGGTCCCACTGATTGGGATTGAGTGAAAAGCATGACATGTACAAAATAATAAAATGTAGAGGCAACCTTTATTTTTTCCTAGTTACAAATTAAACCCATGTTCACTCCAGAAAATACTATACATATTTTACAATTTTAAAATATTAGAGCTCAAATGTATAACATTCACACTGACTATTTGAATGGATGTCTTGTGCTTAATCTTCAATTAAACCTATACCACTATCATAGCAATTTGCTTGGGTAATGTGTTCAAAACTTTCTTTCCGTTCATGTGAACAAGCTGGCAATTAGAAGTAATACTTTGAGTGACTTTGCAGCTATAACTTAGAAGCTTTTGCATATGTAAATTAGAAGCACAATGATATTGCTATCTGGACTGCTATACTGCTTGTGATTTGTTTTTCTTCCCCATTCATGGAATTGGCTCGCTGACAGACATGCCTCCAGTGTGGAAAAAAACATTGAAAGCGAATTCACCTGGATTGCACTCACTTTCGCCCACAAAATATACAGTCAATTCACTCTACAGTATAATCTGTGAAGCACTTTGAAGACGATAAGGCGCTAGCTATATCAAAGGCAAGTATTATTATTACATTGAATCTTCTAGTCAATATAAAGTCCTCCTGTTTGGAGAAGTGTTGAACTGTTGTTCAACACAATTTACACTTATATCGTGTCGTGCCCTCCACGTAGGGTAGTGTCTCTGTGCTTAACAGTGGTGGAGCCTGACTCCGAGTTAGGGGGTGGGTGGGATGGGGGGTGACTGTAAGCATGGTCAAAAAGGTTTTCAGGCTGGACTCAAAAAAGGGCAGGGGGCAGGCGGAGAGATTGAGGGAGAGTGTTTCAGTTTTGGGGCAGTGGCTGAAAGCGCAATGGTGAGGCGGAAGGTGTGAGGGACAAGTAGGAGACCGGTTGCTAGTCCAGCGGAGGTGCCAGGTGGTGAATTGGAGGGTGAGGATGTTGGAGAGAGAGGGAGGTGCCAGAGTGAATGGAATGTGGGCAGCTGAGTTTTAAATGAGTTGGATCTTGTGAATGTTGGAGCTGGGGAGACCGGAGAGGTCGGAGTAATCCAAGTGGGAGGTGACAAGGGTTTGGGCTACATTTGGGATAAGATACGGTCTGAGGTGGGCAATGAGGTGGAGGAATGTTTATCCATTTGATGAACAGGTTCCACTGTTTAAGAACAGTCGCTTTTGAAAATTTTGGGTGGAAATATTGTTCAGTTTAGTAAAGGTTATTTTCCATGAATTTGACAAAGTAGCCATTTCAAAAGCATTCATACTTCGATGTTTTCCCAGTTAATCGGAATGACCCGATATTTTAACATGATCATTTGAGTTAAGCAATTTGTGAACGGTTATCTCACCACTGGGTACATGTTACCATGGAAACTTTTTTCCCAGCCACAAAGACACTAAAGAATCATTACGAGGCATTTAGGTGATAAGAACCAAGCTGTTTCAAAGAGTAATTTGAATTCCTCCGATTACTGTAGTTGCTGCCATGTAAACTGCATTTTCATAACAATTCACTGGGTTGATTTTTCAGTTCTGTTCACCAACACTGGGTTTGATGGTAATAATTACAGACCAGAACACACAATAGGGAATTACTGCTTTGCACTCAATTATGGTATTGTAATCAAAGATTAATCATCCCTGCAGTTCAGTGATTGTCAGTATATGTATCAATAAATACAGCTTTACATAGCTCGACCTAAAACTAATCTGTGGACAAGAAGACAACCTTAACAGTAAGCAGAGGAATTATCCCCATTTCTGTAAATGATAAGACTTCTGTAACTGCAGTGCTCAAGTGTTATACACCTTTCGCCTTTGTGAAAGTGGAGCTGAACCTGCAATTATTTTTCAATGTAAAGGTTTTATATTCCCCCCTCCCCCACCCAAGGTAAGCTGCTGCTGTTGTACCGGGATATGATTTTTGTAAGAAGTTCCCTTTTAGACTTGTGCTTCTCGTGTTATTTGTGGTTGCTGCTGGCTGCCCTGCGGTCTGTTGCCATCCCCTCCTCTGCACTAAAATCACCTGGCAACTTCCTGCCTAAAAATACCTCGTCATAGCAAATGAAGGAACACACACCTGAAACATTAACATTACATTTTTTTTAGGCGCCCACCTGGAGCCATAATTAAACTGACATTTCCAGGTGATATCGGGCTTCAATAAGGAATTTGAACAGAGGATTGGATTCGGGATGTTAAACACATCATCTTCCCCTCCTCCCCTTCCCTCAATAACCTGCGGAAAGGTGGGAGGATTTTCCAGCCCCACTGGCTTTTGCTGCAAACTGAGCTCATCGCACACGGCAATGAGTCTCCATTGAAGAGATATCATTTTTTTCACAATTAACACAATTGAATATTGCTGCCAGAATTTGATGCTGCCTTTTTAAAACTCAAGACAAAATGTGAGACCTGTAATAATGGATGGAGGTACACAGTTTACTACACTGAGTGACTCAGTGAGGAAAATGTTTTTTGACCAAAATATAAAGGAGGCAATGACACCAGTAACAAATAGAATACTTTCAGAAGAGAAATCAATAACATCCAAAACTGACAATGAAGGCTAAAATTGAATAATCCAAGACAGCACTGAAAAATTTGCGTGGATTAAACGATGTAGAAAAACACTGGGGAATGAGTTACACTGCGAGTTAAAGCTGTGGATAGGGGGAAAAAACAACCTCATTGCTCTGCACAGTAACATTTAAGATCAAAGGCTGCAAGTAGGCAATATGTTCTCAAGCCAATACCTCACCAGCCAGCAAAGATACCCATGAATGATTCTGATTGTTTCCTTGTGGGGAAGCGCTTTCCTATTGTTCAGCAAGGCACCTTCTTCCAATTACAGGAAAGAGATGGAGAATCATTCTCCTCTCTGGCACAGCCCCAAATTACTGACCACCTGATAATGTCTCCGTTCATTAGTTGTTAAATTACAATATAACTTCTGATTTCAATAGCATAACTAACAGTGTATACAGTAGAGCAGTAGCACCAGATAAGTATTGTCAATTAAAGAATAAGTTCACAGGGATACAAATGCTAGTTTATAGATCTGTACAAACATAATATTTAAAAATATAGAAAAATTGTCCAATATTCTGGGTTAGGGTTTAAGGGTCGAGACTGCTATAGCACCCAGAATGGTTTCACAATCTTTTCTAAAAAAACTCTTGTTGTCAAATTGAATAGTTTTGATCTAAAATATGCAGGCCAAGAAATTGGCAGTCATATTTTCTCAAGTATAAATACAATATTAGGAGTGCAAACGGGAGCGTTGTAAGAGGAGCTACAGAATGAGTCTTCCACAACTCCGCGTCAGGACAGGTCACTGAGGTTTAATTCAGGCGGGCTATCAGAAAGTCCCAAGTTCACACTGACATCAGAGTCATTTGATTGTCTTTCACTGTCCTCCAGGGTCGAGGTAGAGATGCCGCTGGTGGTTCTCCTGGCACCTGTATTGAAGCAACAAGTTACTTTTGAGTTCATTGACCTAATTCACCAGCATACAAGCTTGTTCTGCTGGTCAACAAAGCAACCAAGAGCAAGGGCTGAAACATCCCATTTGATCACCATTTGGGAGAGAGACACTTTGCAGCTTTCAGTAGTTTGCATATTAAATAAATGGTCAAAGAGTAGATGTGCAATTGTTGCAAATTCCCAGATGGAAACAAGGCAAAAATTACAAGACTCAATCAAGAGTTATAAATGTACATTACATTTCAGGGGCTCAATGGCAGGCTGCCAAAATAAAAACATATTGATCATATCTGTTATTGTAATGACAGTGACTATTATATTTGGAAACAGTGCATCTCACTGAAAAGAACTACCTCAACCCTCCTTGTTTCAGTGAATGTGCAATCTAATCCACCATTTTCTGGGAGATTTAGTTATCATTTCACTGTCTAAACTACACAGATGGTGTCCTAAATTTGCCACAGAGTGCAGGTTTTTCAATAAGTACAAAACTGTGAAAAGAGACTAAATGAAATTCAGCAAGACTTCACTTGGCATAACAAAGTATAGAACCAGAAATTAAGAAATGTAGAGACAAAATAACAAAAAGGAAAAATGCGAAGTACTCAGAACATAGTGCATTTAACTAACCAGAAACTTAAACTCATTGACCTTTTTATTCATTAAAATGGCAATTGCAAATTTTCCATGGACTCTGTGCCTGCTAGAGATCTCAGATTCCTAGCCTAGACATTTACGTCAATGAAACGCTTTGAGATGTTATCCTACATGAAAGACGCTATATAAAGGCAAAATTGTTATTCAATACCTGGCTGGATCTCAATCGCCCACCCTGCATGTTGGCAAGGATAAAAGTAGCTGTTTATTCACACGGTATGTGTAACACATGCAAATTTCTGAAATGTGAAAATTCTTGACTCGAGGACAAACTCCACGCTGCAAGTTAAAATTTCACAAGCGAGATATCACACAAAAGCACTGCCAAGGAAATTCTGTTCAGGGGAAATGTATAATTAAAGAGAAAAGCTTAGAAATGCAAGGACAAATGAAACTGCAACTGACTATGGGGCTAATTTTGTCATTACTTCCCTCCACACCCCAGGTACACCGCAATCTACTAAACATCACATTTTTAAAAAATATATATATATATCTATAAATATATAAAGAAAAATTAAAAATGGCTCAAATTGCAGGAATTTAGGAATTCTATTGAATCCCTCATCTCACTAATTTTAAGGGAAAGCTCACAGAAATTATAAATTATACTTGGCTCCAAGAACTGCAAACTTCAAGCTTCTCATATTAAATATTTATGTTTTAGTCTGTAATTGTTTTTTTTCTTGCACCAACTGCTGTCCCACATGTCAATGAGACACAGAATGTGCCCAGGGTTGCTCATTACGTGGGGGTGTTGGATAGTTGGACCAGATGAATAATGACACATTTTATGAAAAAATTAAAACCGTATGAGGGATGATGTAAAGCTTTCGCACCCTGCTTTCCTTTTCCTCCAGATATTTTTGATTAGCCCATTATCAAGGAGTAAAGCGTTTGGGCACAGAAATGCATCCGTTACCACATACTATCAATGCAACTTAACCAGGATTTCAGTTTTGCACAAGAATAAATTTCTCCCATTCTAGGCATACTTTGCCTCAGCAGCTGAAATTTACAACTGATGTTGAAATTTGTACATATCTCCAGAGCTGTAGAATTTGCAGTCTGCCATATTCCTACATCCATTAACATCTGCTCAGGTGTCTAGGGTTGCTTCATGTCTTCACAACCTACATTCACTGGAGAAGTTCATTACTAGGAACACTCTTGAAAATTTGGGAAGATGCATTATTAACCGACCATACTGAAACTCATAAAAGCTGAAGTCACATTTTGGAAACAAATTTCTAATAGCTTAATGGATGCAAGCTTTGGAATTCAAGGGGATGGCAGATATGGAAGAATGTATAAACAGTAGGAAATGGTAGGTGAGGAGATTAAATGATGTTAGGATATGTGAATTGAGGCGATTGGGAACACTTATATTACTTGAGCAAAATTCAATCACAATTTACATTAAACATTTCAAGAAGATAGTTTCACTAAGTTTTCCCAGGGATGCCTTGGGTTATTCAACGAGCACATTAATGAAGATTAAACTGTTGGGATACTAATTGGCAGGAAGAAATGAAGGCTTTGACTTCAGATTGTACATTTCTTAAGGAATACACCCAAAAGGATTGGTAAAAGGCAAGTTTCCTCCGTCTGGATAGAAGTTGGAAAACTTGCAACATTCCCCTACATTCCCCCTTCCCTCAAAATGTTTTTTACAATGAAATCCCTCACAATACTCAAACTAAGATGGAGAATGATTCAATCACAATTCAATCATAAAATTCTCCCTAGTGATAGTCAATACTGCTGTGATGATCAGATCAGAAGTGCTTGCAAATCATTTTGAAATTACTTTGAATGGGATGCTTATTGCATAATCTTGTACCTCTGCTGAAACCCAGAAAGAGGAATGCATTCAGAACAACACTTGAGCTCCGAACGTATGTTAGTGAGAATAGAATACTTTACCTTTTTTATTTTGCTTAAATGAATCAAGGTCTTGTGAACAAGTGAAATCATCATCTGAGCTGATGTCTACCAGACTCAGGGTGTAACTGAAATCTGAGTCGGAATCTTCATTGAGTGATTGGGCTTTATGCTTCTTCTTTCGATATCGTTTTTCTTTTGTGTCTGGAAATGAAGAATCTATTCAGAGAATAGCGGACATGCTGTGTGCCAGTAAAATGATGTAGGAACGGAAATGTTTGTTCTTGTGGATATTTGTGCAGTAGCCAGTACAACATTTGTACTCAGAAATCATTAAAGCTAAAAACAAACCTACTGTGTATATATGCACACTGTAGCTATTCATCAGAAGAGGGAATACTATTGATTTTCTTTCCGTGGATTCTGAGTGAGATGTCCTCATTGTTTGACGACAGAGCCAAAGCTAGAGATTGGAGTGATGGAATCCTACAGCAACAAACACTCTTTTTCTCGCTTACATTTCTCAACCCAGTCAATACAAGTGTCCTACCGCATGCTGAAACTTCCATCCAGTAGATCACAAGGTTGGAGTCATGAGAGAAGCCCATTAGTTCACAGTGAAGCTTATGTCAATCATGAAGCAGCTCAGACACTTCAATCAGTATGCAGAACAGTAAAATTTATGGATCTGCATTTGCTTACTGGGCTCCCAATTACTCATCCCATAAATACAGTGGTCGACTGCACTTAGTTGCTTAAATATGGCTACCTTGAATAGTAGACTTCAGAACTGAGCAATAACCCCTAAATTTAAAGTGATCCATGCAGTTACCTACCTAGACGTCATATACATTATTAAAATAATAATGGGTGGATGAATGGGAGTGATGATAAATGTTAGTGGGGGCTGGGGAGGAAGCATCTAGAGTGTCTGCTTATACTCAACACAAATACTCCAGCTCCAAAGTTTCAACATCTGAAGTTTCATACTAAATGTACATCAGACTCACTCACTCAACAGTACAAATCCAGCAGAAATAGATCCAAGATCAGCAGAAAGAGAACCTGGTTAAAGATCTGGTACTCACTTGTGCCTCCCGGTTTGGATGGTGTACTGGTCAGATGGTCACCAAGATGAAGGTCTGTCAATTGCTTCTTCAAGCCAGCAACTGCAGATCTGGAGAAACATTCAGCTTACAAATTCAGCAGTTAAAAACACAGAAAATAATAATATACATCATGGAATACTACCTTTTTATACAAGTATTCATCAAAAAAGTACTTCCTCATAACAATGGTCCTGTGTGTACCAAGGCTTCAGTGCCTTGGGATGTCCTCTCGGCATGAAAGGCGCTATACAAATGTAATTTGTTGTTGTTGACTAGCTGGCTGGTAGATTCCCAGAGTGCTTGAGAGGTGTGCCTTTATGTCATATCTATTCAAAATCAGTTGTCCTTTAAGTGCTAGGTTTAACAGTTTTAGCAAACTTCAATAGGTGTAGGTTTTTGTGCAAAGTGAATTGATTAATTCTGGCTAGATTAAACACCCTTGAGTAAATACTACCCACTTGACATGCGTAAGTTCCTGTTCAGTATATTCCCGTTCATGAATTGATCGATTAAAGTTGAGACAATGTGATTGATATTTGTTCATTAGTTCTCCCAAGGTCTACAAGAAAAAGGTAAACAAGACAAAGGAATAAGACATTCATAATCAATATTGAGGAGTTACAACACGTCTCCCCTTTTATTGAAAAAAATGGTGAGTAATTCCACTTTTCAGAGTTCCAGATTTCCTTGCACACTCTGACCCTGAATTTAACCCTAGTACTCGATTTCACTGGAAGTGTATCACAATGCTATAAACTGACTTGTGCTGGAACTTGCGTTTTAATGGGATTGGATTATAAACTTTATAATGAGGTTGGGTCAGACTACAGTATTTACAAAAACAATCAGCATTCACAATTAGCCCTTTTCAAATGAATTTATAAAGACTGTTTAATAATGTAGGCAGAATTCGTCAGATGTGTCAATCTTTAATAAATACACTTATATTTGCTCTCCAAGCTATAGATCCCAAACGGCACATATAGATTTCAAAAATCTTGCACAATTCAAATATCAAGAAAGAAGACCTAATAAGGGACTTTATTTTGAAATAGTTCAATTTAAGTTTACCATAATCGGTGGTATTATGGTACCAGTTGCAATGCCTACTGGTATGGACACAATTTTATTCATTCCTTCACTCAATTGCAGACAATAAAATCTTCAGTCATCTTAAAGGACAATGGTGTTGTGATATTAGATCAAAGTAAACTTTCATTTTGAATGGAATTTTTTTCTTCAACTTTTTAAACAAAGAATTAAAAGATACAATTCAACACTAATTACAAGCCTCGCAAAGGCTGATGTGGGAATGAGAGAGAGAAAAAAATCACACTTATGCAGAGATTCTCTGTTCTAAAATACCATCATGTAAATAATAATCCTTATAATAACTACCCTTGCATTTGCTATAGCGCTTTTCACGTCTTCTAGAAGTCTCAAAGTGCTTCACAGAATATACTGTAAAGTGAATTAACTGTATATTTGTGGGCAAAACGCGGCAGCCAATGTAGAACAGGAGCAACAGCATCCTCTGGTGGTAAAATAAAATACACAATTTCCAGAATCATTTATTCTTGATAGCTTCTCCATAGTCTTAAATTTGGCTCTGTTCTGAGGACCTGTATCCACAGAAAATGGGCACAGAGTGCTTTAACAAATTGCATGTAAAAATATCAACAGCTAGAGCAATGGAGAATTCATTACATCATTCTAGGAGAGATCCCAGAACTGAAAGAAGTCTTCACTGTGGCACCCAGATTTTCTTTAGCGAATAGTACATACAACCCTGTGATGAGTATTGTAATTTAAAACAAAAATCTAAGCCTGTTGATACACTGGCTAAGGTGACCATAGTCATTAAATAGACAGTTGAGAAATCTCTAGTATCCTCCACATTAAGGATTCAACCATTCCTTGTTTAAAAAATAATCCCAAACTATTCAGAAGTGAAAGCTTAATTACAATTCCTTCCAACCATTTGTGTTTAAAAGGGTTCCCAATAGATGGAAGTAGCCTTATAAGGGGATGGAATTGAAACAAAGCATAAGGGAATTTTTATTTGGGAGTCAATTAAAAAGGTTTCTTTCCTCAGAATGTCTTTAACTTCTGCACAAGGCAACCTGGCTGGGTTGAGTGAGGTGCACATGGTCACCATGGATACAAACCCATATCCTACTGCATTGTGCTTTTGTTTCTGAGTACATGAATGTACTAAAATGTCTTTAATCTACTAATATGAGTTAGAGAATAAATAGTCAGCATGACTCAGAGAAAGACAAGGGCAAGATCTACGACTTTACTATTATGGGTCAATTTATTTCAAACTCACCGATTGATTGCAATTGTGCCTTCAGAACTACAGCAGCTGGTTTTGAACGAAACACCACTTACTCTTATATATAAAACCTCAGCCTTTAATTAATTAAAGCTTCTTGAAGCTTGGGGGAAAAAGATGGGCGTATATTAAGCACTTTGTTTTCACATATTCTGGCACGTGAACTGCAAGGTAAGCAAAAGCAGAGCAGCCTTTTTGAACAGCATTAATTGGTAGCTAATGTTCTCTGTACAGTATTGAATTGTTTCATGTCTCCACCTGCTCTGCCCCACCATCAGCCGCAACTCTTCCCTCTCTGCCTTCAAATCCCTCCTGAAGTCCTACCTCTTTGACTGTGCTTTCAGTCAACCCAGCCAGATCTCTCTCCTGCTCAGTTGTTGTAAAGTACTTTACATCAAGGCCACTATCTAAGGGTAAATCACTGTTATTATTTCACTTGATTTAGACAGAATGTGTCTGCTGATTTTAATCCATGTAAACAGTAATTTTGAACTGAAGGCAAAATAAAAGAAATTGGCTGTCCAAAAACATGGTAATTCTTTGAAATTTTACAGAGTTGATATTTCCCAAGTCGGTTAATCTGTCCTGCTGCTTTATTCAGTGATAGTTGTGTTTCATTTCTATTTTGGATAAAAACTAGCGTTTCAAAACATTTCAGAGAAGTACAAAAACATTTATTGAAGGCAATGTAAATTCCAAAAGATTATGCTCATATTTGTGGTGCTCTACCTTATTATCTCTCTCAAGTGATCGCTTGAGGTCCTTTGTTTCAGAAATCTGATTCTGCAGATCCTCCTCCTGTCTCCCTAATAAACAGTGCACACGTAATGAATTAGAAACAGAAACCTTTAGCGTTACGTTTTGTTGGCAGAAATTGGTATAAAAGGGGTTAAGTTTAGCTTGTGGCTTTTTTAAACTAAAGCCATCACTGAATTACAAACCAACAATATTTTCCAATAATTTTATGCTGGAATACGTTTTGCGGTTTGGAGTCCAGGGAAAATGAGAGAACCTTTTTTCCCAGAAATGCTTTAGTTTTGAATTTTCAACAAACAACTGGCTAAAAGGATAGCATTCTGAGGAGGCCTATACATGTATCAGAAAAGAGAAAACATGCAAACTATTTGAACATTAGTAATACTACTAGTACTCAATTGAGTATCTCATTACAGAAGTGTATCCATGTTAATTATGACCACAATAACATACATTAAAAGAGATTTGGTCCTTGCCCTCTGTGCCATAATATAGGGTTTGTCTACTCATCCCTACGAACAGCATTTCAGGAAAGGAGATCACACTTGAATTAATTCGAGTCTGGGTTCAGAGAGACACACACACACAAGATTGAATGAACTGCAATTTGAAGGTTAATGAGGTAGCCCCCACCCAAGAAGATTTCAACAAAGAGTCCTGAATGAAAGAGTTTGGAGGAAGGTCAGTGCTAATCATAGGATAAACTCTTTTAATAGTGCCGCTCCAGTTCAGTGGAATCTGGAGAGGTCACATTTGTGGAAGTGGTCACTAGTTCCTCACAGCCTCTTTAACGTGTTAAGTAGAGCAGGATTTCTGTGGTCGAGCCAGACACAATGCAAGATTATTCAGTCATTTATAGATCTGGCAGTAATGAAAAACAAATGCTAATCATTCCTCCTTTGAATCTGGTTTCTCCTAGTCCTCTCTCTCTCCCTCCCCAGGGCTCTCTTCTTTCCCATACTCCCCAAAAAGTGAATTCTGTAGCCAAGAAAAAAAAGCAAAGGCCCCAAACACAACAGCTATTCATAGACTAAATGCAGAACCACCCCCCTCCCCCGAATTAATTCAAAACATTACTATACTTACGTTGTTTGTGCTTCAGGTTATCAATCTCTCTTCTAAGCGATTCAAATTCTTCATAAAGCTCTCTCTTACTGTGAATGAAACATACAATTATAATAAGTATTCAGTGCTATCATTTAAGGAAGAATGCATCTCTTAAGGGTAATCATTATTACTTACTCATGAATCAAAATTCATTGATCAGTAGAGAAACTAGATTATGAATTCTGGATTGTGGCCTGTTTTTCCTCAATCCAACGAGTACTGGCTAATAGATTTTCATAGATTCATAGAATGTTACGGCACAGAAGGAGGCCATTCGGCCCATCGAGTCTGTGCGGCTCTTTGACAGAGCAAATCACTTTCACTAACCCCAATCACCAGCTTTCTCCCCATAACCCTGCAAACCCGTCTTCCCCCGATACCTGTCCAGTTCTTTCTTAAAAGCTGTTATCGAATCGGACTTCACTGCCCTTTCGGGCAGATCATTCCAAATTCGAACAGCTCACTGAGTGAAAAAATTTCTTCTAACCTCCCCTCTGCTTCTTTTGGTAGATATCTTAAGACTGTGACCACAGGTCACAGACACACCTACCAGTGGAAACAGCTTTTCCCTATCTCGCCTGTCAAAACCTTCCATGATCTTGAAGACCTCTATCAGGTCCCCGCGTAACCTTCTCTGCTCTAATGGGAAAAGTCCGAACTTCTCCACTGTCCTCATAGCTAAGGTTCCCCATTCCTGGTATCATTCTCGTGAATCTCCTCTGCACCCTTTCCAGTGCCTTAATGTCCTTCCTGAAGTAAGGTGCCCAGAACTGGACACAGTACTCCAGCTGAGGCCTAACCAGTGTTTTGTATAGATTAACCATAACTTCCCTACTCTTATACTCTATGCCCCTACTAATAAAGCTCAGTACACCAAATGCCTTTTTTACTGCCTTATCTACCTGCCCCACTACCTTTAATGATTCGCTTACTTGAACACCCAGATCTCTTTGTACGTTCACCCCCCTTAAGATTGAGCTACCAAGTCTATATTGCCTCCTATCATTTTTCCTTTCCTATATCACAAGACCAGTCTGGATGAAGCAGGGCCTTCAGCCTATCTGATCTCAACCTTCCAGAACATCCAGACTACCATCCCATCACAGCATCAAGCTGCTTATTTAAATGAATCTAGTCTCCCGGCTTCTACCGCTTTTCCTGGCAATCTGTTCCAATCGTTGAGATTACTACCTTGGGCACAAACCTATTCCTACCTTTCACGAACCTCTTGCATCACATTAGTAATTGTAGTCGACCCATGACTAAAGCCTCCATCTCGTTGCCGTTGTACCTGCTCGCGCAAGCTATAAATTTCATTTGAGACTTCCCTCCGCCATTCCTCCATCTTTCTCTCCAGTTGGAAATCCAAACTTCTGTCGTCGGGTCGACTATGAATTCGACGAATCTCCTCTGCATCAGAATAGCAAATCAGTGAATGAATCAGTAATCAATATGAAAGATAGTCAAGTTATTCTCTTGATAAAGGGTTTACCTTCTAATGATCTAATCTTCTGTTGTTGGTACTCCTTTTCAGCCTCAACTCTCATTAAGTTTTGATGCAAAGATTGAATGGCCTAGAAGGCAAGAAAATAATAATCATTCGGTCACTCAATCCATGACTGTTGTTTCGTCCAGAAAATATAGTCAATTAAGTTTACAGCATATTTTGTGAAGCATGTCTTGAACACATAAGGCGCTATATATGCGAGGATTATTGTCATTATTATTACCTCTACTGAATAACTGAGCAGTGCCTAGGGCAGAGCAGTGCCAGAAATTCCTGCACAAAACAGCAGGCAATAAACATGCTACATCTTTCCATTCAGACAGCTGCCAGTTGTAGGTTTTCCTTCAGTTGCTTCATAAAGTATCGTATGGTAACCAAACACAGTGATAGAAAACACTAGGTTTACCCTTCCTTGGGATTGCAGCTTCCTGTAGATGTCTGTTAATTCTTCCCTGGTTATTGTAGGGTTCAGTGTATCTGAATAGGAGTTCAAGGGTTCCACAAAGACAGGTATAGCATCACTGAAATGGATATTTCTTGTGTCTATTTTGGCAAGCATATCATCTAAAAAAGAAAAAGATTCAAAATAGAAAATGGGATTAACACAGTATGGAGGCATCAGTTCTTTGCAAGTTAAATTTTGTAGGGTTGCGAGTAAAACTCTCTAAGGTAGCACAATGGTATTTTGTTGCTAGATTTCCAAAGATTAATCCACTATTGCATGTTTGGTCTGTTTATTTTGGAAATAAATTAAAACACCGTTCCCTCAATGACATGTTCATGATCTTGGTCAAGAGGTTCAAAAGACATTGAATGGAAAATTTCCTTTACACTGAAGTAAGTTTTGAAACACTTTTGAAAGCAAATATCACTAATAAAGATCTAACTTCAAATAAATATACTCACCTTTTGTACAATACCCAGCAGTATTCAATCTTTGCTGTTAAACAAACAAGAATAGTAAATTTACAGTTAATGACCCACTTTTTTTAAAGTCAGTGCTATTATATTCAGTGCCTTGGGATGTCCTCATGGTGTGAAAGATGCTACACAAATGTGATTTTGTGTTGTATACAGTGGTATCCAAATTGAATAATATTGGTTGAGTGTGCTTTTAAGTCTAAATATTAATATCCAATCAGAGGGAGCTGCCAAAGAAAGGCCATGTGTTTGCTTTCCTGTTGAAGGCAGCAACAAAAATAACAACTTGCATTTATATAGCACCCTCCACGCCAGCTGGCGTCCCAGAGCACTTAACAGTGGTGGAGGCCGATGCACAGCCAGAGGGAGGGGGAAGTTGACCATAGGTACAGTTGAAGAGGAAGGTCTTTCTTAAACACAACCTGAAATGGGGAAAGAGAGGGAAGGGCAAAGGGATTGAGGGAGGGAGTTCCATAGCTTTGGGGCGAAGTGGCTGAAGGCACGGCCGCCGATAGTGGAACAGAAGATTCGAGGGACAAGGAGGGGGCTGGAGCCAGTAGAGCGGAAGCAGCGGGTACTGCTGTGGGGAGAGAGGAGGTTAGAGAGATAAGAGGTGCTAAACCGTGGAGGGATTTAAACACTAGAGTGAGGATCCTGAAGTCAATTTGCTCTGGGACAGGGAGCCAGTGGAGTTTGGCAAGGACTAGGGTAATCAGGGTGCAGAGTTTAGTACGGGTGAGAATGCGGGCAGCGGAGTTTTGGATGAGGAGCGAGGGTGCTCGTGTAGTACGAGCAGGTGACTCGTTCCCAGACTTCTCAAAAGAACTAAACGAGCAGTACATATTAATACCACCATGACCACACTCACCTTAATCTTTGCAACATTGCTGTCGGTGTCATTTAGTATGGAATTCAGCTTCATGTCCCAGTTCATTACTGCTATACGGCAAGTACTGCTAATGTAAGACACACACCAGTGAGCATATTCACTAAACAATACCTCCCTACACCTCGATTCCCGGCCAGGGAGAAACGTTAGGCAAGGTTCCTGACTCCACATACACACACACACACACACATCTCTGTTCACTAGTTCCCAGGCAGAGGGCGAAACCTTGGGCAAGTTTCCTTACTCCACACAGAGCCTAATAATAATCCCTCCAAAACAAAACAATAATAAAGTGGTCATTTTCAATCCATAACTGTGTGTGGGACATTGCTGTGCGCAATTGACTGCCGCGTTCGCCCACAAATATACAGTCAATTCACTTTCCAGTATATTCTGTGAAGCGCTTTGGGACGTCCTCCCGACGTGAAAAGCGCTATATCAAATGCGAGGATTATTACTATTATTATTGTGCAGCGCTATGAGACGCTGTTTGGCGTGGAGGGCGCTAATAGAAATCCAAGTTTTTTTTCCGTGGCTGATCGCTTTTCCGGAGGTGATAATAAATCCCTCGGCCCACGACCGTTCCTGGGGGAGGTCGGCCTGCGCAGTGGGCTGCCGCGGCTCGCCCGCAAAACACACAGTCACTACGCTTGACGGTATATTCCCGTGAGACGTGTCGAAAAGGCGTAAATAAAGCGCTGCGTCAAACGCAAGCACTATCATTTCATATTTTATCATTAAAGAACCCCCTCCCCTCCCCTTCCCCCCCCCGCCTCCCCTCCCCCTTGTGCCCTTCCCCCACAACCTTACACACCCCCCCCACCCCACACCCTTCTCCCCCCCCCCCCACGACCCCAGAGTCGCCTCCAACCCGGGGGGAGACGATCTTGTCGAGTTACATCTCAGGTAAGTCCGTTTGAAGCGGCCACAGGAGGGGTGAGGGAGGGAGGGAGGGATGGCGGGCGGGGGGCGGTCGCCATGGTGACCAGTGTGAGGGGGAAGACCAGCGCCTGGTGAACCCGCAGCAACTTCGTTCACATCAGCAATACGACCGCGTGTATATTAATAGCTCCCTCTCCTCCTCCCCTCACAGTCACTCTTTACTCCCATCTCGTTCCCCACCGCCCTGAGGAACCGGGAACATTCCGTCACTCTCCCTCTCACTCACTCACTCACTCACCAACGGTGTCCCTGAGTTTGAAATGGCGTCGCTGGGGCGCTGCGGGCGTCACGACGTCACGGCGTCCCTCGCGCGGTGCGCACTGGGGCTTGTAGTTCTTTTTTTTTTGGAGGGGGGCGTTCGTCCAGCCTGTACTGCAGTGACGTGCCGCGGGGCACCCTGGGATTTGAAGTTCTCCCCCCCCCCCGCCCTCCCTCCCTCGCGGACTCGGCCGGAAGTGACGCGTGACGTGGGCGGCGAGGCGAGGCGAGGCGAGCGTGCGACATGGCGGTGGCGGACGCGGTGGCGCAGCGGCTGCGCGAGCTGCTGACTCCCGGCGGCTTCGAGTGTCACCCGTTCAAGGTACCTCAGCGGCGGCCGCCCGGGTCGGGCCTTCTCCATCTGCCCCACCCCCACCCCTCCCCACCCCCGGGGGCGGAGGGGCAGACGAGGGGGAGGGTCCCACAGACAGAGACCGTCATATAATATTCACTATCAAATACGATAATCATAATAATAATCACTGCATTTGATATGGCGCAGCCCTGCGGTCGGAGCCCTCGCCTCGCCTCGCCGTGGGGGGGTGTGGGAGAGAGAGGGTCCCCGGGTTCGAGTCCCGGGACACGTCGGCCAAGTTTCCTTTACACCACGCGCCTGCGAACACGCTCCCGCGCACAAACACGCGCTCACACACACACGCTCGCACACACACACGCTCCCGCGCGCACACACACACACACTCACACACGCTCCCGTGCGCGCACACACACACACACGCGCTCGCACACACGCGCTCGCACACACACGCGCTCGCACACACACGCTCACACACACACGCGCTCGCACACACACGCTCACACACACACGCGCTCGCACACACACGCTCACACACACACGCGCTCGCACACGCGCGCCAGCACGCGCGCTCGCACACACACGCTCACGCGCTCGCACACGCGTTCGCACACGCGCTCAAACACACGCTCATGCGCTCGCACACGCGCGCTCGCACACGCGTTCGCACACACACGCGCTCGCACACACGCGCTCGCACGCACATGCACACACGCGCGCTCGCGCGCGGGCCTCTGGTGGCCTGGCAGGCGGTAGGAGCCCGGCCGTCAAGTCGATCCGCTTCCGAAAAAAATAATGACGATAATGATAATAATTCGGTCACTTCGATCCGCGACTGTTCGTGGGGACGTCGCCGGCCCCAGTTGGCTGCCGCGTTTCGCCCGCACAGAAACGCACGCAGCCACTACACTGTGCCGCATATTATAATAATAATAATAATCCTCGCATTTGATATAGCGCTTTTCACGTCGGGAGGACGTCCCAAAGCGCTTCACAGAACGCACTGTAAAGTGAATTGACTGTATATTTGTGGGCGAACGCGGCAGCCAATTGCGCACAGCAATGTCCCACAAACAGTCGTAGATTGAAAATGACCAATTTATTATTGTTTTTGGTTTTGGAGGATTATTATTAGGCTCTGTGTGGAGTAAGGAAACTTGCTCGAGGTTTCGCCCTCTGCCTGGAATTGAACTCAGGTCTCTCGCTTGCAAAGCGAGTGCTCTAACCACTGAGCTACAGGACTCCACGTATATTCTGTGAAGCGCTTTGAGACGTCTCGAAGACGGAGATAAGGCACGTGATAAACACAAACATAATTATTAATGTTGTGTAAATCCCCCTGACATGAAAAGTGCTGATGTACCTCTATTAAATGCAAAGCCCATTAGGCTTATTATTAAACCCCCCAATGCAGAGATTTACAAATACTGTGTAAATGCCTTTGTAATCCTATTATTACTTTATTTATTTGTAGATTGGTTGGTATAATGCCATCCTGCAGCCCACCTTCCACCTCAAATACCCAGATGACACTTTGGCTTTTGTTGTCCTCAGCACACCGCAGATGTATGAGAAGTCCTTTAAGCCATTCATTATTAGCAAGCAATTCGCGGGTGTCCGAGACCCCATCGATGAATGTGTCGCTCAATATTTTTTTCTCGTGAAAGAGGTAAAGGGGAGATATTGTTCTTGAACTCTCATATGTTTATAAGGAGTTTATTTAAATATATTTTAAACCTGAGGACTCCGATCGCATGTACCATTAAAAAACATTTAATATGTGGGTCACTGATTAAGGTTGGGAATGATAAACTAATTTTGACAATTGGATGTTCTCAACAGGATCAACAGTTTCTTGAGTTACAGAACATTGTGAATAATTTACTGGACTGTTGATACTTTTGTCTTTCTTCCTGGATATCAATCTAATCTGTGATTAGATTGAGGCTTCATCCGGATATTTAGGATCTCACAGTAACCATCTTTCCTTTTCTCACTCTATAGAATCTTTCTGAGCAGAGGATAGAAGCTATCCATGACTTTGAAATACTTCCAAATCGTAGACCAAAGGTTCTGGTGCAAACGGCAGCACATGTGGCTGGAGCAGCCTATTATTATCAGAAAAATAATGTAAAGAAAAACCCCTGGGGAGAAAAGGTAAGAGTGGGACCAGTATCTTCAGTCATGAGGCTTTGGTTTGCCTTGATAAGATCCCTTACTGGAATGCCAATGTGAATTATATTTAAAGGAAACTGAAGGATGACAGCACAGTGATCAGAGCTTTGGAGCTTGAACCCTTGAACTCGTATTGAATTTGTGATATTGCTGTGGGAATAGTTACAATGGAGGATGGGTGATATTTCATAGGGAGAGAAAATTAGGAAGGTCAATCCTGTTTTTAGCAGGTGTTTCAAAGTGGCAAGAGCGTAGACTTGTTAATCTGAAAAATAAACTGTGTTGGCACTTGGCAAAGGGAAAAAAAAATTGATTGAATTTAAAATTTGAGAGAGTCCTTCTGATGGTTTGCTTGGTAAATCCACTGTCCAGAATTTTGTCACCCCAGATAATAATGATAATCATCATCCTTCCATTTGGTATGACACCTTTCATCTTGTGAGGATTTCTGTGAAATGGAGTGACTGTGTATTTGTGGGTGAACACAGAATGAAGAACTACTGTACATGAAACTACAGAACTCCAACATGTTGGAGTGTAAAAATAATAATAATACTTGTATTTGATATAGTGCCTTATGTCGTCGATACCTCTCCAAGTGCTTCATAGGATATACTTGAAAGTGTTTTTGACTGTGTTGTGTGGACAAAACAAATTTGTTCCTCGAACTTCCCACGCAGCAAGTTCCACATATACCATTAATGGAGAAACTGAATTTGTAAGCTGAATGCTTCACCAAAAAGAGTGAGAAAATAATAAAAATAATAATAAAAGTAATAAAATCTCAGAAAAAGTACTGTCCTATGATGTTCTTTTACACCTTCAAGTGACTGTTTATAGCAATCACCATCGCCTTGGAGGTCAGTGGCTGTCCTTTCAGTTTGGGTTATCAGAAGTGGGAGAAGGGAGAAATAAACAATGCCTTTAGAATTTAAAATTATATTTTACAGAAAATCTATGGTGTATGTATTCATCCTCGTTACGGTGGCTGGTTTGCAATAAGAGGAGTCCTCATATTTCAGGATCTGCAGATTCCGTCTCTTGAGCAGAGGCCACCTGTAGATTGTGTTTCAACAAAGGAGAAAATAATCGAACTGCTGGAAAGATTTAATTTCCACTGGAGGGACTGGACTTACCGAGATATCATCGAGGTGGAGGAGAGATACTCTGAAGACCAGAAGCAATACTTTGCTACACCTCCTTCGAAAAGGCTGGAACTACTTGGACTGAAAAATAATTGTCTTTCATATTGAGTTGTGAAAGGAAGATGTATTGAGGGATATGGGGCAAGGGCGGGTAATTGGACTTGAGGTACAGATCAGCCATGATCTTTATAGAATAGTGAAACAGGCTTGAGGGGCTGAATGGCCTACTCCGGTTTCTATGTCTTTATACACTAATCTGTCACTTACAGTGATCTGCTCTTTTTTGAACAGAAAGCCTGTAAGGATCCGTTACTGCTGAATTTATACTGCTATCAATTAGAGGAAACCTAGCAATATAGAATATGTTGAATATAGAAATTATGGGATAATATAGTTCACACTCCTGTTTCAAATGCAAGGATATCAAATGCAAGGATTAGAATAACTTGAATGTGGCTCTAAAAATGAGCAGCCTATGTGTTTTTAGTAGAAATATGTAATATTTAATATATAGTATTTTAAAATTATTTTTGAGAGCTATAGAAATTCTAACAAAGTGGCATAGCAGGTACGTGAGGGGTAAAAAGTAATTTATTAGTCTGTTAGAATGAAGATGTTCAGAACATGTTACAGTATGTAAGAAATACATTATGAAGACCAATGGAATATTACAAGTGAATTTGTTCAACAGCACAATTAGAATAATTTCATTTCCTTTGAATTTCTATAATGTATATGTATACATTATATGTAGCAAAAACTTATTTTGTTATGACTTTGTTATTGGACATTTTACTGAAAAATAATCTCCTGTTTTAACGCAATTGTCACTATTTATTATAGAGTATAAAAAGACAACGACTACAGTTTTATTTCTTGAAATACCTTTATTCTAAAATATTCCAAGCAGCTTCTTAATAGATTTAGTTTAATAAAAAAAAGCAATATAATATTCTAACACATGTATTCATTATCACAAACATTCTTGAAGGGACAGAGCAGCAAGTTACAATTGAGGTTGGAAAAAGATGGTGCAAAACATCCAACACATTTGTAATATTCTCTGCATTGAAAACACAGAGACTGGGACACATGGACACATTTCCACTTTTACATCCTGCATGTGAATAGTCGTTTCCCTTTCATTTCTATTAGTTTATTTTACAAGTTCCTGAGACGTCCTTCGTTACAAAGTGGATCACCTTTTGCATGCAAAACAAATGCCCAATTACCTGATATTGCCTGCATGGAGAGAGAAAAGGTCTTGGGTTTTAGAGAAGTTGACCTAAGGACTCAAAGGTCAAATTTCTAACCCTAATACTGCAGCTTTGTAAATATACTTGGTTGGGAAGGGGAGGTGGAAACATGATATTCGAACTGTTTCATTCCACAAAGCAGAAGTGAATCATTTATGGTGGAAAGGCACACAGATTTGCACACCCCTGCCCGCCCACATGCACACAAACACTCATTGGATGAAAATTAAGCAACTAAAGCAATTAAATTTAATGAACCAAATTAATGAATGTAAACTTCATGAAGACTCAGACACCAAAAGTGGAATGTAAAAATATCAAAAAGAGAAAACTCCATTTCAGCACACAAATCTTACTTAATTGTTCAGGTCTACATTAAAGATCTACAATCCAGTTTGTCTACAATGATCGCCAAACAAAAGCAATCATCAAACAATGCCATACTGTTAAGAACTTAATTCTGAAAATGAGCGGCAAAACACTCAAGTTTCCAATGACGATCACAATGCTAAGTAGAGTTCTATAACCATTGTTTTGAAACTAAATATTTTAATATAATAATAATAATAATCCTTGCATTTGATATAGCGCTTTTCACGTCGGGAGGACGACCCAAAGTGCTTCACAGAACACACTGTAAAGTGAATTGACTGTATATTTGTGGGCGAACGCGGCAGCCAATTGCGCACAGCAATGTCCCACAAACAGTCGTAGATTGAAAATGACCAATTTATTATTGTTTTGGGTTTTGGAGGGATTATTATTAGGCTCTGTGTGGAGTAAGGAAACTTGCCCAAGGTTTCGCCCTCTGCCTGGAATTGAACTCAGGTCTCTCACTTGCAAAGCGAGTGCTCTAACCACTGAGCTACAGGACTCTACATAGGTAGTTCAGGACATATGTACATGCATCCGCCAAGAAGGTGGAAGGCGAACTAGATGGACCGTCTTTTTATCATAATGCATAGTGGAAGTACCTATTTATAACCCAAAGATTATTTTTGGATAATGCAGCAGTAATCACAGAAGAATATGCTGCACAATCTCTCATCTATGATTCATTGGCTGTAGCGTCCTGCAATTGAGTTTAATGCTCGTGGGGGAAAAGATAAATTAGTCATGGCTTCTGGTATCCCATCAGTGACCCCTGCTAACAACTGTTATAATAATCTGTGTATTTAATATAGCGTCCAAAATGTTTTATGATAATAAATAATAATGCTTGCATTTGATATAGTGCCTTATCATGTCTTTCAGACGTCTCAAAGTGCTTCACAGAATATATTGTAAAGTGAATTGACTATTTTGTGGGGGAAACACAACAGCTAATTGCGCACAGCAGCGTCCCACAAACAGTGGTGGATTGAGTGACCAAATTATTATTCTGCATCTTGAAGCACTTCACAGAGTTTCTTTGTGAAGCTTTGGAGGCAAATACAGCAGCCAAATTGAACACAAACAGCTATGGAGTGAATGACCAATTTTATCAAGCAGGACACTGGGAGAAATGCTCTTTTGTCAAACAGCACGATGGGATCTTTAACAGGCAGATGGGACCTGGAGTTTAACACCTCATGTAAAACATTAGAATTTGATTCACATTAATAAAGAAGGAAGACAGAAGTTCACTTTGTTCAGTTTTGAAGGGCATTTGTCCTAAGAAAAAATTCTTACCCCCATACAAAAATATTCACTCCACCAGACTTGCTGACAATGAATAAGGTGGCATTAAAACTATTTTCAAACACAGATTTTTACTCTGCCTGATAGCTGCACATTCCTCAGGTTTGTAGAATGGTTTCAGCCACCTTGATTTTCACTGATTAACCACCATCAGTTTGGTTATATTAGTTTATGGAAACAATAATGGTAAAAGAAAAATGCCAGACAAACTGGGAACTTCAGCTAAAAGGCTGCGTTTCTTCCACTGAGAGTTGAATTTTCTCATCTTCTGTAAGATAAATGAAGATCCATTAATCTCAAGGTTTTCTGTTTTTTGAGCTTTGTTATAGTATAATGTTTGTTATAATAATCCTTACATTTGATAGAGCGCCTTATCACGTCTTTGAGACGTCTCAAAACGCTTCACAGAATAGACTGTAAAGTGAATTTTACTGTATATTTTGTGGGCGAAACGCGGCAGCCAATTGTGCACAGAGGTGTCCCACAAACAGTCATGAAGTCTGACTCCACTGGCTTCCCATCACACAGGATACAATGCAAGATCCTGGTCCTCACCTTCAAAGCCCTCCATTGCCGTGCTCCCCCCCTACCTCTGTGATCTCCTAACCCCCTACATCCCGCCCACTCCCTCCACTCAGCGGGCTCTGGCCTGCTTCACATCCCCCGCCTCACCTACCCCACCATTGGCAGGCGGGCCTTCTGCCGCTCTGGCCCCACCCTCTGGAACTCCATCCTGCAGTCCCTCCGCCTTGCCCCCTCCCTTGCCTCCTTCAAGACCTAGCTCAAGACCCTCCTCTTCGACCGTGCTTTCGATCATCCTCCTTCCCCCCCCCCCACCGCCCTCCCCTCTCCCCCACCCCAACCCCCAGCTCAATTCCGAAACACTGATTGTCCAGCGCCTTGGGACGTCGTCCCGACGTGAAAGGACCGACATATGTAATTTTGTGGTTGTTGTTGATTGAGAAATTAATTGAAACCGGCTTCCAAATTACGGCTGGTTTTAATCACAGATTCTGCCTCATCCTAAATTTTAAGACAAACGTAATGCGAAGTAGGATTTTAGGGAATTTAATGGGTCGCATATATATATATATGTATAGATATAGATATAGTGCCTTTCACGCCGGGAGGACATCTCAAAGTGCTACGGGGGATATAGTGTAAAGTCTAGTGACTTTATATTTTGTAGGCAAACAGCCAATTTGCACACAGCAATGCCTTACGAACAGCCACGAAGTGAATGAACAAAATAACTATTGAATAGCACAGCAACCAATACTGTGGGGAGGGGATTGTCGACAAGAATATGCAAGCCTGAGAGAAAAACTGTAAATCTGGGTGGAAAAGCTAAAGGAACTAGTGAAAAACTTTAAACCTACCTTCTCGTGTTTCATGCAAGGCCGATCTCTGAGATATAACTTTCATTAATTGTGGGTAAACCTGGCAGTTGTTATTCAGCCCTTGAGCAAACAGAAAAAATATTTTTTTACTGGTGGAACTAATTCTAACATCCAGACACAAACTGAGGTTGTATCATTAAAATTCAAGGATTATTTTACTTCCTTTTCAGGTGCAAATATTTCACACCCCCTGTTCAAGCATCAAGTGAAATACATGCAGAATAAGAGAAACTCAGGAGTACGTTTTAAATCTACAATTTAATTTAAGAGTATCCTTCATTACAAACTTCTCAAATTATCATCGTGATAGATAGATTGTCGTAAATTACACACACATCAAATTCCTTTGGGAATGTAATAAAATCCTATCGTATTTATAGATTAAAATAGCAATCTAAGAATCGCAAAGACATTATCCACTAATTATTACCTGCTGATTGGATTTGTTTCAGTTTTTGTACTTTCCAAACCAGGTAAATCATCAAGATGAGAAAAAAGATGTTGAGATATGTCTGCAAGTCTGAAATGATATTGGATTTATGTTAGAATTTGGCACAGGTACGAACAAAATACAGATAATCAGTAAAACTCCTTAAAGGTATAGTTACTGAGTAAAGTATTTCTTATTATAATCGCTGCACTATGATTCTGTTTGATTCTGCTCTGTTTTGCCTTCTGGGTTCTCATTTGTTTGCATCCACTAAGGATTGCGTTGGCTATCTATTGCATTAACTGTACGCAATTTTTCACAGCTACCAACGTTACCTTCGTTCCTCCAGCTTCCAATATGTGGAAGGAAGAGGGAGAAGAAATTGGGTGTGAGGCAATTAACATACAAT